GAAATTGGTCCTGGAAAATGGACATGTGAACTTGCTTCTGTCACACATAACCAGCAGATTATCTGGGGAAAGATGTGCTCCTGGTACTGAGAGACAAGGTGGCAGGGTTTGTGTGAAGGCTCATAAATGCCTGGAGGCTGGGGTGTTGCTCAGTTGGCATCAGGCTTGCTTCACTCCCACAATGCCCTGGGTTCCATCCCATGTACCGCATAAAACCAGACATGACACATGCCTATTGTCTCAGCACTGGGAGGCAGAGGCAGGAGGATCGAAGACCAAAATCTTCCTCAACTACATAGAGAATCCTGGCCATCCTGGGGGTATGTAAAACCCTATTTCCAATAAGCAAATCCTGGAAAAAAGGGTGGACTAGAACCCATTTTGGATTAAAGCCAAAAGTTTTGATGAAGTTCTATTCTGAAAGTTATCTTTAGTTTTTAAAAAATCTTTTATTCTTATTTCATGTGTGTGGATGTTTTGTCTGCATGTTGTCTGTGTACCTTGTCTGTGCCTGGTGTTCACAGAGTCCAGAAGGGTTAGATCCCCTGGGACTGGAGTTACAGACAGATGTGAACTGTCATGTTGGTGTTTGGAATAGAACTGAGGTTCTCTGGATGAGAAGCCAGTGCTCTTAACCACTGAACTATCTCTCCAGTTCCCTGGCAGTCATGTTTTAAAAGAAACTATCAATTTCTTACTTTTCCAAGAACAAAAGAAGTGTGGAGGGGCAAACAGGCGCTTCTCCACATACAGGATACAAACTGCATTCTTTGCATGTTTGATAACGAAATACCAATTACACTTCTTGTGAGGGTTAATTAATTTTTAAGAGTATTTATTTATCTTATGTGGGTAAGTGTTTTGTCTGCAAGTATGTAAATGCACCATATGCATGCTTGGTGCCCTCTGAAGTCAGAAGAGGGTATCAGATCTCCTGACACAAGGGGGATGGTTATGGGTCCCATGTGGGTACTGAGAATTAAACCTGACCTGTGGAAAAACCACAAGTGCTGCCAATCCATCTCTCCAGTTCCTGTGCCGGCTAATATCATGTGTTAACTTGGGCAGGACACGGTGCCTAGTTTTTGTTTGTTTGTTTTATTTTTTTTCTTCCCTCAAAATACCAGTTTAGGTATTTCTATGAAAATTCTTTTGGGCAGATGTGACATTTAAATTAGAAGACAATTTTTTTTTTCAGATGAGGTCCCACTGTATCCCAGACTAAATTTGAATTTGTGATTCTCTTACCTCAGTTTCCCAAGTGCTGGGATTAAAGGCGTGTTCCTCCTCACCTGATGCATCAGCAGATTTTGAGTAAAGTAGCTTGGCCTCCATCACAGGGAAGGCCTTTCCCAGTCATTGGAAATGCAAACACTGATGTTCTTTCAAAGACTACTGCATAGAAACCCAGCCTGAGTTTCAGATCTGCAAGATCAACTCTGAGTTTTTAGGCTGTTGACCTACTGTGTAGATGTCAGACACACTGATAGCCAAAAATCACACAATCTAGCAATACAGGTCCTTAAGATCAAGCTGTTTCTCTCATAGATCAACACACACACACAGCGGTGGGGGGGGGGAGACAGGTTTGTGTGTGTATATTGTGTGAATATGGGTGTGAGTGTGCCTATGTGTGGAGGTCAGAGGACAGCTTGTCAGAGTTAGTTCTCTCCTTCTTCCACGGGCTTCAAGAATTGAACTTAGGTTAGCAGATCTGCTAGGCAAGTGTCTACCTGATGAGCTATCTTAATGGCCTTAATATTTCTTCTTTTCAAGAGAAGATATTGTTTCCATTTATGTTTAAAATCGAGAGGCTTTTAACTATCCTGCCTTTGACCTGACTTTTTTAAAAAGATTTTTTAAATTTAAATTAGAAACAAGGTTGCTTCACATGTCAATCCCAGCTCTCTCCCTCTCCCTCCCCTCCTCCCAAGCCTTCCCACCAACCCCCCACCCACCCACCCAGTTCCCACTCTATTCCCCTGGGAGGGTGAGGTTCTCCATGGGGGTTATCCAGAGTCTGTCATTTTGTTCAGGGTAGCACCTAGGCCCTCCCCAAAGAGTCCAGGCTGCGAGAGCATCCCTCCATGTGAAATGGGCACCCAAAGTCCATTTGTATGCCAGGGACAAATACTGATCTACTACCCAAGGCCCCATAGATTGCCTAGGCCTCCTCACTGACACCCACATTCAGGGGGTCTGGATCAGTCCCATGCTAGCCTCCCAGCCATCAGTCTGGGGTCCAAGATCTCCCCCTTGTTCAGGTCAGCTGTCTCTGTGGGTTAAACAAGCTCAGTCTTAACCCCTTTGCTCATCAGTCCTCCCTCTCTGTCACTGGGTTTCAGGAGTTCAGGTCGGTGTTTAGCTGTGTTGACCTGACTTTTGTCTCACAGTTAAGGGAATCTTGCACACAAAATCACCAGGAGGGAGCCTTCCACCCCCCACCTGCCACCCCTGCTCAGTTTTCTACTCTTTTCCTTCTCCTGATTAAAATGCAAAAGAATCCATGAGAGTGATGATGAGTCCCATGAGCCATTAGCTGCAGTGTCTCATTGTGAGTGGGAAGAGCTTTCTTACTGATCTTCAGAGGGAGAAGAAAAGTACTACCAGAGGGGAGCAGACCCCAAATGAAAGTGTGACATAAATAGATATATATCCCTTGTCAAACTCCGAATCTCAGGCTGGGTGTGATGACATATGTCTGCCGTTCCATCGCTCTGGGACCAAGAGAGGAGAGCTCTGAGTTTAAGGCCAGTCTGGGCTACATTGTGAGAGACCCTGCTTCAAAACATACAACAAGGCTGGGGATGTAGCTCAGTGGTAGAGTACCTGCTGCCTAACAAGACACAAAACAACAATGACAAAAAGGAAAAGGTAAAGAGACAAGGGAGAGAGGAGGGAGAAAAAGGGAATCCGAGAGAGAGAGAGAGAGAGAGAGAGAGAGAGAGAGAGAGAGAGAGAGAGAGAGAGAGAGAGAGAGAGAGAGAGAGAGAGAGAGCTCACAGGCACACCCGAGACCCAGGTCTTGACGGGAAGATGACTCCCAGATATGTGATATGTCCTTGCTTTTGCCTTCCGTTTAGCATACAGCATTAGAGGCTGGCTCACAGTTGTGACTTTCTGAAACTTCTCATGTTACTCTCTCATGCCACTTTCCTCACAAACGTTAAGTTTCCTTACCTGGCAGTGCTGGAAATAGGTAGGGCAGGTGAATTGCTTAAGTGTCAAGTAGCAGAGAGCAGAGAAATAGCTGTGTACGCTAACAGCGATGGAGCCTTGACTGACTGTGGGCCTCACCTTGTGTGTTTCCATGTAAGGGTCCCCATGAGCCCCACCCTAATGAAGAATGTCCCAGTTACACAGCACTTCCTTTATTTAATTGCTCAACACCCTTTGAGATCCTTTGCTTTTAGAAGTGCCGATTTTTTGTTTGTTTGTTTTTTGTTTTTTCGAGACAGGGTTTCTCTGTATTGCTTTAAAGGTTGTCCTGGAACTCTCTCTGTAGACAAGGCTGGCCTTGAATTCACAGAGATCTGCCTACCTCTGCCTCCCTAGTGCTGGGATCATAGGCGTGCAGCACCAATGCCCAGCTAGTAGTGCTGACTTTTAAGAGGTTAAAAAATGTATTTTTCTTCTTTTCTTGGGCCCTTATTAAGTTCGTTTTCTCCTGAAGTTATTCTTGCCCAGGGTGTTGATCACCTCCAGACACACCGAATAGTTTTAAAAACAATTGCTCACTAAACAACCCAATGTTCAAAGCAGAAGAGAGGTGAGGCTCACCTACCAGTCATGAGATTGTTTTTTCAAGTTCATTACCTCTTTCACTCACCAGAGAATACACAAACCACACCTCAACTCATGCTAGAGAAATCTGGATTAAGAAAATGGGAGGGAGGAAATGGGGGAGAGGGCGAGAAAGGGAAAGACAAATCAGGGACCCTTCTCATCAGTGTGGTCTCTGTCCCACTTAGGCAGCAGCGGCTCATCAGGTTTGTGGCAGCCTGCAGAGCCATCAGACCCGGATTCCAGAGCAGGGCACAGTAGATTCTGGGGATGATTTATGCTGTTGCGAGGAATGTAAGCAAGAGTGAAAAAAAATGGACGTTTCACTTACTTTTTTTGCCTAAATGATGCCTAACTTCTCTTGCTGTCTAAATGTTTATGAGTCTTTCTAGGAAGTTAAATATATAGGAAATATAGGAAAGTTGATTTTGTAAGTCTAGTACAGCAGAAAGCAAAACAGTGTGCTGTAAGCATAAAAAAAGCATTTTTACACTTATTGGGAAGATTAATCAAAAGGAGAACTACTTTCTCATGGAACTGGGAAAAGTACAGCAACCATGTTAGCTGTGAAAATGAATAATGCACAGGCATAAAGAATATTGCCTTCTTTCCCGCCGTGCTTACCAAGCCTACTCAGCAAGAAATGGACCGCAAGCAATTGCCTTGACTTTTTTATGAAAACCTAAAATTAATAAAAACTCATAAATGTTCTTAAAAATGCCCAAAGCTACTGGTAAATGAAAATTTAGGCTTATAAAAAGAATCACAAAAGTATAAATATCCAATAATACTAGTGTTACTTGAAACAATTTGTGTAAAAATATTAGAACAAAAATGTGTGTATTTAAAGCCTGCCGATCCTGGTGGATCAGCTCATTGGCGAACAGTAAAAATCAGTCCTGTAAAAATGACCTTGATTAGATAAAACTAATTTGTTAACTTATCTCAGACAACACACTGATCAAAGCAGAACTTTTAATCCTCTCAAGGGCTTGTCAGACCACATGATTTCTGACAAGAACAGGAAACTTTTTGTCAGGTAAAGGGATAGGTAATTATCGAAAGAGCATTTCACATAAAAGTTACAAGATCTCACGCTACAAAAGGGACAGACTAACGGTTAGGATGTATAGCCCCCTTTGTTCAAATCCCACTTCCTTGCTCGCAGGAGAGCACATACTGTGCGATGGGCTTCTCTGAGAGGTTCGTGTACTCACACAGTGGCTGCGGGGTGGTCTCTGCTCGGTTTTGCTCCTGACCCTGGGTGGCTCCAACTCACTCTGCCGTGTACACCAGCCCAAGGTGCTTTTCTACCCCACTGCTTCTCTGGAGCGCCCGTCCCAGGGGAGGGTGGTCTGTGACTGGGAGGAGCATCTCACATGGGCTGAGCCTGATGCTGCCTGAACCTGCTCGGCTGAGCAGGAAGCACCGTGGACGGAATTATTTCTCATGCTTTGGAATGTGCATCTCTAATGGAGGGGTCAGTCTTTCTCCTTGAATACAAACTCGGGATTTTTGTGTTTAGTTGATCCTTTGCTTGATTGGATCATTAACTTCTGAGCGTTTGCATGGTAAAGAAGCCTGTTCATTCTCCCTTCTCATTTGCTTGCACGGGATCAGAGTCAGGTTCAGTTTCTGCAACCACAGGTTATATTCTCAGGGACAGTAAATGATGAAGTAATGTTCATACGGTGAGTGGCACAGCAAATGGTAAAGGAGAAGAAAGTTGCAAACATAGATGGAGAAACACAAACAAAGAGACAGGGTCAAGTGATCATTTGAGATCTATCTAGGCCCTTCCTTTCTCTTTGTCCCTTCCTTCAGGAACTCTGAGTCATATATACACAGCATGAAGAACATTGCTTTTAGTGGACAAATTGCAGCACACGGTTACTTTAGCCTAGTCTTGAGGGGCAAGTAAAGGCAGTAATATTAGAAAGGACTGAACACTTTCATCAATAGACTGGGGAGTTCCTCACAGATTAGCACCACCGATCATAGGCAATGCTCTTCTTACTCAAGGGGCAAAGTTAGTATGCAGTTTGCTTATAGGGAGTTCCCTGAGATCCATGCCCATAGAGGCTTGTCAAGCACAGTCTAGGTGAGCTCCTGGCCATGGCCTGTCTGAGCTCTGCCTCCATGATCTATGTCTTTAGGTGAGGGTTACCCAAAGAAGCAGATTTTCATAGCTGAGGCCCATCCCTGAGCAAGACTGATGATGGCAGGCAGTTAGTCTTCCAATGGGAACAGCAGGGGATGCCCATGTCCCTTTGAATGCCTTCTTGCTCTTCAGTGTTCCAGAGTCTGATTAGGTGAATTAGGATACGTCACACAATAGAATTCTACACAGTGGTTAAAAATGAAGCCACATACAAACAGTACCATGGGAATAAGTTTTGTCATTTATTCAACAAATGTTTATGAAAACCCTTGAGGCATCAGGACCAATTCTAGAAGCTAAAGACGAAAAACAACCAATTGCAACAGAACAGAACATCTCAGTTTACACAGTAGCCTGTCTGGTTCTATATAACTTTATTTTTATTTAAATTAGAAACAAGCTTGTTTTACATGTCAATTCCAGTTCCCTCTCCCTCTCTTCCTCCCCTGCCCCCCACTAACCCCCTATCCCATCCCCTTTCTGTTCTCCAGGGAGGATGAGGCCTTCCATGGGGGATCTTCAAAGTCTGTCACATCATTTGGGCCAGGGCCTAGACCCTCTATGTGAAATGGGATCCCAATGTCCATTCTTTTGCTAGGGATAAACACTGATCTACTACTAGAGGCCTCATAGGTTGCCGAGGCCTCCCTACTAACACCCATGTTCAGGAGGTCTGGACCTATGCTTGTTTCCCAGCTGGGGTCCATGAGCTCCCCCTTGTTCAGGTCAGCTGTTTCTGTGGGTTTCACCAGCCTTGTCTTAACCCCTTTGCTGATTACTCCTCCCATAACTCTATTTTAAAAAATAATATATGCATTTCAACTTTAGGAAGAATATTCAGCAAATAGGAATCCATTTGAGTGATGAGGTATGGTGACTTTGCTCTTGTTTTTGCAGTTCATATCCTTCCAGCACCTAGATGACAACTTTACAAAGAGAAGCATGCCATTAAAGGCAACTCTAAGCATGGTGAAGGGCAAGGAAGCATGAGGAAGCATTGTGTGAGACCCATGTCCTCCACTCAGAGCTAGCTGCCCATGAGGAAGCATTGTGTGAGACCCATGTCCTCCACTCAGGGCTAGCTGTCCATGAGGAAGCATTGTGTGAGACCCATGTCCTCCACTCAGGGCTAGCTGTTATGAGGAAGCATTGTGTGAGACCCATGTCCTCCACTCAGGGCTAGCTGCCCATGAGGAAGCATTGTGTGAGACCCATGTCCTCCACTCGGAGCTAGCTGCCCATGAGGAAGCATTGTGTGAGACTCATGTTCTCCACTCAGGGCTAGCCGCCCACGTGTTCTTGTCCACATCCCAGGTGCCACCGGAAACCTCTTCCTCCTGGCTGTTGCCTGACTCCTCCCCACCCTTTCAGCTGCATCTGGGCTCTTCTGCCAGCTGAGGGACCCTTCCCAGTTGCTCTTATATGCCCAGAAGTGTCTAACATTTCCAGTGCTCCCAATCAATGCTGCTTCCTTTTTCATCACCTCGTTCAATTTTCTTTTATAAAAGAATCTAGTCGGGCTGGAGAGATGGCTCAGCAGTTAAGAGTGTTTCCTGCATTTCTAGAGGCCCTGTGTTCAACTCCTAGCACTCACATCGGTGGCTCCCAACTAACTGCCTGTAACTCCAGCTGTAGGGGATCTGACACCCTCTTCTGGACTCTATGGACCCCTGCATTCATGTGCACAGGCACACATGTACCCACATAAATGAAAATAAATCTTAAGAGAAAGAACAGAAGCCGGGCGGTGGTGGCACACACCTTTAATCCCAGCACTCGGGAGGCAGAGGCAGGTGGATCTCTGTGAGTTTGAGATCAAGCCTGGTCTACAGAGCGAGTTCTAAGACGGGTTCCAAACTAATACAGAGAAACCCTGTCTCGAAAAAAAAAAAAAAAAAAAAAGAACAGAAATCTGGCATTGCTGTTTGTGTTGTGTTCCTGTCCCACCCAAACAAGTCAGAGTAGTATTGGATGAGAAAATGATTTTCTTATTTGGGAGGGCTTAGAGTGAATTAGTTCCACTCGGTCTGGGAAAAACATGATTGTTGCATAATAAACGATTGAAAAGAAAGTTGAAAGTACATGAGCAAAGTTCCAGTCGTATGACATTTGAATTTCTTTTAAAAATTTTCCCTGTTTTATTATGTTTTTTACTTTCATTTTACATTTCAGCCAAAGTTCTCCCTCCCTCCCCTCCTCCTGACCCCACCTCGACTCCCCCAGCCCACCCCCATGCTCTGCTCCCAACAGGTAAGGGCTCCCGTGGAGAGTAGACAAAGTCTGGCACATTAAATTGGAGGCATGACCACGCCCCTCCCCCCTGCATTAAGACTGAGCATGTGCTGCTTAAAGTTTTCTGCTTTAGCGCATAATTTTAGTCTGATAACAAGACTGATGTTTAACTACAATAGACACTAATCACCCATATATCCTTTAGTCCCTTACTCAGCAGAAAATAACATTTTGTAGTGGAATCATTCCTTCAGGAACTATTGAGAGACACCATGTTAGGGACAGTTCCAGCACGAATCATAGAGCATGCAAACCCTGATCTCCTGGCTGCTTTCTTTGCATTTCACGCCACAGGACTGGAGTCACATTGTCTCCTCCACCAGGCATTTTCACTAAAAAAAGGCACACATGGGTGGAGGAGATGGTTTGGTTGCTAAATTGTCTTCCATGCATGCAGGAGGTCTCAAGTGTGAATTCCTAGCTGCCACATAAAAAGGCAAGTGTGACACAGCAAGTGTCTGTAAGTCAGTACTAGGGGACAGGGCCGGGTGGATCCCTTGAGCCCATAGGGTAGCCAGCTTTTTCAAACAGTGAGCTTAAGTTTCAGTGAGAGACCTTGTCTCAAGAAACAGGGTGAAGCCAGGTTTTGGTGGTACACGCCTTTAATCCCAGCACTCGGGAGGTAGAGGCAGGCAGATCTCTGTGAGTTCGAGTCCAGCCTGGTCTACAGAGTGATTTCCAGGACAGCCTCCAAAACAATACAGAGAAACCCTGTCTTGAAAAAAACCAAAAAACAAAAACAAAAACAAAAAAACCCCAAAAGCCAAACCAAACAAAAGAAACAGGGTGGAGAGTGACCAAGGTAAGCTGCCGTGGTCCAGCAGCAGCCTGGGTTCAGGTCCTGGCACTGAAAAGGGGTGTCAACCCGAAGAAATAACTGTCTGACCACCAGATGAGTTTCACACAAGTGGCCAGTCCTGAATAGCTCCAACCACCTTTATCTATACATCAAAAACAAGCATGTGTTTCCAGACTAACAAACAAGTTTTTCCCATCCTCCCATGTTAACCTCCAGCAAAAACAAATATGTCAAATACATTTTTAGTTTTTTTCCCCAACTTTTACATCAACATCTTTAAATCAAAACTAACACCATTTTGCCAGCTTGGTCAAATACCGAGCAAGGTACATCTTGCCTTTACAAAACTAAAGGCGATTGACATAGGCACACATTTTCAAGAACAACAATACTGTTCAAAATGTATTTACAGAAATGGGGTGATCTGCCTCTGTTAGCATGGAATTAGAACAACTCTCGGGGTCTGAAGTGATAGCTGGTATCCCCAGACAAGAAACCTGAGAAGCACCAGCTCCTGAGGAATTTTAGGAGAAGATATTCTAGGAAAAAATGATCATATCTGTCCCATGCATGACAGACAAAATGTCACTAAAATTGCCAAGGTGCTCACCAACATTACAAGAGAAGAGAGTGTGCAGGTCAAAGAGTCCCAGCAGTATTCAGCATTGTCCAGAAGTTCACAGTCCTTGCCAAGTGAGACTTTGCCTGTCACTTTTGCCTCATCTGGAGACTGGCTGACAAGTACTCATATACTGGTCCAAGTCTAGGTTGCACAACTCCCAACAGAAAGCACGTGGACGGCACATGTGTGTTCACCTTCATGTGCATGTACACAACCCCACATGAGCATGTTCATATCATATACAGAGAGATAACTCTGCTTCTTTTCAACACAATTTCTGTTCTGTGCATTTGAAATAATCTTCCTGATTGAAAGTTCAGGTCTTTCAAAAAAGTTCCTATCATTATAATAATGCTGCAGAAAACACAGGATTTTAAATACTCACTATTTCCTTGGTAAAAAACTCTTGAAATGTACATTTGTGGTTAAAGGCTATGTTTATTTTAAAATATTTTGATTTATGAGCATTTCAGAGATGTTGGGAAATGATTACTTCCTGGAATAGTATAAGAAAGTTCCCATTTCTCTTCACTTTTAGGTACTATGTAAAGATCAATAGGCATTTAAAAATTTCACAACTATGTTTGAAAGCTTCCTTCAAGAAATCATGTCTTTCAAGCCAAGAATGATGGCGCACACTGTTAATCCCAGCACTTGGTGGGTGGGGGGGAGGTAACCAGGGCTACACAGAGAAACCCTGTCTCAAAAAACCAAGTAAAATAAAGTAAAAGACGTGTTTCAATCTCAGTTTACTCCCCACTGAGACTTTCAGCCCCCATATTTTTTTCTACAAGGCTACCCTGTCCTCTTTGCATTTTAGTTTTAGTGAGCCAATTCTGAAACCCCCCAATCCCACCCCGATACACAGCTAGTTGCTCTCAGATTCCCACGCTGAGTGTTTATGCCTGGCCTGTGAGGGACCTCCTGTCACTTAGGAACTCCTGCTGATTAATCTTCTGCATTAGAAGCCTTTGTAGAGAGCCTGAGTCACATAGCATGTGAAGTGTCGTGCATATTTTCTTCTTTCTCAGGTAACTATGTGCAGAAGCAACCACAAAGTTCATCCCCTCCGGTCCACTGCCTCACTACGGAAGGTCACAAATGACGGTTGTGACATGCATCAGAGACAACCAAAGGGTGTGGCTGCAGCTGCCGGAGTGGTTGGATCTGGGATGTTCTGCCTTTAGAAACTCAGTAAAACCATTTAATGCTAGGGCTAAACATCAAAAAACTAAATTCAATGCTTCAGAGTTGATTTTTTATTCACTATTATTACTGTGAAGGTCTGTGTGTGGCATGTGTATGATACATGCGTGTGGGAGGGCGTGGTGGGACATGTGCACCGAGTGATAGTGTGGAGGTCAGAGGATGACTTTTTTTCCCCAGAGACAGTTCCTTCATTTAACTGGGACTCGGGGGTGGAACTTAGGTTTCCCAGCTTTCATGGAAGGCACTTTCATGCACTGACCCATCTTATCAGTTCCCTTTTCATTTCCTTTTGTAGTTTAGATCATCTTGCTACATAGCCCAGGCTGGTCTTGAACTTCAGATTGTCCTTATCTGGCTTTTAAATGCTAGGACCACCAGCCTGGCACAGATTCAACACTAATACACCATGGCGTTGTAGCCTGCATATTTTCATCACTGCTGATAGAAATGGATTCTCAGTCTTTAGGCTATTTTGTTCGACCACCTAATTAGCTTACATCACTCTAGTTTATTCCATAGGTCATTGCTTGTTGATCAGCTTTCAGGTCATCTTCCAGACAATTAGCAGGCGGTATCTTTATCTGCATAGAGAACATTTATTGAGTTTGAACACACGCACATTTAATGAACAACCTAAAGGAAAAGCTAAATAATCTTGAGACCATACAGGAATGTTTGGGGTGTAATTATGAGAAATAAGTGTCAGAGGCAGGACAGCAGAGTTTGTGTGTGAATGTCAAACAAGCATAATTCATAGCAATACAGCTACATTGTCTTACCACATCATTAGCTAACAAGAGAAAGAGTCAAATCTGCCTCAGTGTTCACATAGGAAAGTTTTAAGATGTTTGACATACAAAAGAAGAATCAATCAATCATCTCAAGTATGATTTCTGACAAGATGCTCTCATACCAGATAGACTGAGTTAAAGCACTTCGCTGCTAAACCCCAGCCGGACTGGTTGCACATTCCACATGATAAAGATTTCTTTAGGGGATAAAGGTGATGAGGAAGTGACACTTTTTTTTTGCCTCACCTGCATAGATATGCATAGACATGCTGGGCTTTCCTGAAGGCTAAAAGCCGGGAGAAGCTTAAATCTCTTTCACCAATGGCAGAATGAAGCCAGCAGTGATGAGAAAGAAAATGGTACTCATATTATGTCACTGTTAATATGAAACATCCCTAACGCTAATGATTTGTTAAAATAATAAAAATGTTTCCCACACATTTTCTGATTGGAATTTTGTGAGAAGCTTAGAGCCACATGAGGTTCTCATGTTCCCTAAGAGGCTGAGAATAGGTGTCCCTCCCAGACAGAGTTTCTCTGTGTATCTTTGTTGACCAGGCTGGCCTCAAACTCACAGAGATCCTCCTGCCTCTGCCCTCCCAAGTGCTGGGATTAAAGGCATGTATCACCACTGCCCATCAAGGCTGAGAATAGTCCCTTTTGAGGTCTGACCTTATTCTAGTTCAGGCTTTGTGGGAGCGTGTACTGAACTGTCAATGCACAGGTAGCCATAACGGGTATATTTTGTGTGATTATCCAGAGAGATCTGTGATAGTAGTTGTGTGAAATTTACAAAGGTACCCTATATATTCTGACCTAAAAATCGAGAACGCACTTAGGCAGAGCCACCACCAGTGCCTACTGAAAACATTTTTCGAATGAGAGCGGAGCACAGCGCTGACATGGAAGACAGGACACAACACTGTTGAGAGGTTCATCTTCAGATGCCCCGCCGCTCCTCTCTGTATCTGATCATGTCCTGTACCTAAGGGGAAGAAGAAAAGGGAAGTTTTCCATTTGGAATCATACATCTTGTCAGTAGCTAGAGACAGGAGAATACTCCATGATTAGTGTGGAGACAGTCAAGTCTATAGAGAAGATTAAACCTTGGAGAACACCCAAGTCTCGGGGAAAGGTGGCCACTGGGGATGGGGGAAGGCTAGGGAATAACTAGAATTGACCATGAGAAGGGATTACAGTGTCAAAGGTCTCAGGGTTGAGGCAAGGGAAGAGAAGGCTGGAGAAATTTTTTCATTTGTCCTGTGGGGTGTTTTTTTTTTATATCAAAGATCACAGTTTTGGAAGAGGGAAGAGATGAAGGATGATGACAGGAGATTTAGAGAAGAAATGGGAAAGTAGGAAGCGCCCAGTGCTCACATCAGCTTCTCAAGAGTTTTGTTTGTGGTTTACCCTCACATCTGAAGCCCAGCAGGCCAAGACCAAAATCGTCACCTCACCTTCTAACTTTTCTTCCAATGGCACTAATGTTTTGTCTTTCATTTGTGAGCAGGGAAGAACTCAGTGTTCCAGAGACCTCTCTGACTGTTCTTTCTAGACACTAAATTCAGCTATGGGTATTCAAGTTATCTTTTCTACCAGGTCTCAGGTAAGCTGTAGGACAACTTCAAGTGACCCAAATCCATATAATTGGGATTCCTAGAAGAGGGGCCGAAAGGACTGACTGTTGCAGATTGTCCTCTGACCTCTGCACACACTTGATGGTACATGGCACCTAACACACACACACACACACACACACACACACACACACACACACACACACCCTACTAGTGTGTATGCTTGCATGTATATGGAGGTATACATTTGTGTAACTTCATTAATTACTCTTAAAACTAATATGGAAATAGAGATCCAAGACTATCAGAGATGTGTTTAAAGAAGAATAAAGTAGGCAAGCTTTCCCTATTAGGTACTGAGTTATTCCAGTCAGGGAATTGATAGGGGAAACCCCCAGGAACCCACAAAAATGACCACAGCTAAGACTCCTGGCAATAGTGGAGAAGGCGCCCGAACAGGCCGTCTACTCTAAGCAGAGTGGTGATTTCCCTAATTGCCCTCAGAGATACTCTAGCCAGTAATTGACGGAAGCAGGGGTAGATATCCACAGCCAAGCACTGTGCTGAGCTGAGACATTTGTGGAAGAAAAGGAAGAGGGATTGTATCAGCCAGGGGGTTCAAGATGGGAGAACCCACAGAGACAGCTGATCTGAGCTCTCCAGAATTCACGGACACTGGATTAACAGTCAGGGAGCATGCATGGGACTGACCTAGGCCTTCTACGTGTGTGTGACAATTGCGTAGCTTGGTCTCTTAGTAAAGTTTCTAATAATGAGAGCAGGACCTCTCCCTGGCACTTAGCTGGCTTTTGGTAACATGCTCCCTATACTGGACTACCTGGCCCAGCCTGGACATCAGGTGAGGAGCTAGGTACTGCTTAACTTGATGGGTCATGCCCATGGGAGACCTGTCTCTTTCTGAATGGAGGTGGAGGAGAAATGGATGGTGAGGGAATAGATAGGAAAGGGGAGGGAACAGGCGAAGAGGAGGGAGGGGAAACTGGTTGGTACGCAAAATAAATGAAAAAAATATTTACACTAAAAAAGAATCTTACTCTGAAGCAAGTTTAAATAAATACGTGGAATGACTGAAAAAAAGAGAATATGTAAATTGTGGCTCTTACTAAAAGGGGTTGGTTTCTGGATGAATGAAAGAAGTGACTCTTTACCTGATCTTCTATTATATACAAAACTGATTCAAACAAGCCCTGCTTTATTTTACACACACACACACACACACACACACACACCACACACACACACACACACACACACACAGAATGTAGGAAACCATAGGTGAAATTTCTAATATAAGACAGTGGAAGTATTAATCACAAAGAAAAATGTTACATTTGTCATTAAACTTAAGAATTTCTACTCCTCAAAAGATAAGAGCTAGAGGGTGAGACAGAGAGTGGGAGGAAATACAAAACAAATGTGATTAACCAAACAACCACAGCCAGAACATATAGAAACCTGCTGCTGAGGAGTAAGGCATGAAGAAGTACTATAGAGAAAATACATTCTTCCAAAAATGGCCAGTAACCAGACGGAAAAACATGCAAATGCCTATCATCTAGGAAAAGGTGAAAGGACACAGTAAAATTTTACTATTTGCTTACCTGAACAGCCAAGGCTAAACACAGTGGCAGCCATGAACCCTGGCAAAGCTGCAGAGCTGCTTGGGGGGAAGGGTGCAAACTGGTACACTCATGTTGGAAAATGAAATCGATCCATTTGAAGCTAAGCAAACACATGTTCTACAATTCCATGATTAAAGTATACAGCCAAGAGTGATGTGCCCTGAACAACATGAATGGGAAGGCCCACAGCAAGATTTTTTGTAATAGTTCCAAATTGGAAACGATCTGCATGTCCATGACAAAAGAGAATGGCTCAGCCACAGTATTCTGCACGAAGAATAACATGTCATGATGAAAAGGGATGAACAGCTACACACAACAGATGGATCCATCTCACAGACATAATTTTGGGTCAAAGAGCTAAGACAAAAACAGTACTAAGTGTACATGGTGCACTTTGAAGACAGATCAGAGCGCTCTCGGGTCTCAACAACAGTGTTTCATGATTCATGTTCAGCAGTAGAATTTTAAAGAAAAGTTAGCAAGTTATTATAAAGGTCAAAATAAGCAATTCCTCTGTTGGGAAGTCATTAGAAAGAGCCTTCTGTGAGGCTGGGATGTTCAGTTTGAGACAGGTTCTCACTGTGTAGCCCTAGCTGGCCTTGAACTCACAGAGATCTGCCTGCCTCTGCCTTTGCTTCCTCAGCACTGGCATTCAAGATGTGAGCCACCATCCCTAGCATTGTTCTGTACTTCATTAAGAACTCTTGAACGGAAGCTGCAGTACATTTCCGGGGCGATGACTTGGAGCTGTCCATGGTTTGCTCTGTTCATCTGGATGTGCTGTTTTCCGACAAGGAGAATAGAAGGGATGTTCTCTCCCACTCCATACCTGGCCTAGCATGAAACTCAGGGGATCATCCGGCTTTTCGTAGACGAGGTTCTCAGTGATCTGCTGATAGAAAGCACAACGCACCACACTTGATTCCTAGAGTTCTGCAGTCAGCCACCTACCACCCGAGGATATATTGTGGTCATTTTAAAGACATTCACACGTCCCCAAGTAACACCTTTCTTTCTTTATTTGGAGGAAATCAGGTAAATTGAGATCAGATTTGGAGGGATAAAATCTTACCTTAAGGAGCAATGCATATTTTTGGTTGTTTCCAAGACCAAAGAAGTGGTGGGAAAGTTATAAAGTTTTTGAGAACTGTGATATCGCTAGATGATCAGTTAATAAATTGTTTACTTGAAAAAGAATCGAAAAATGGAACTTTGAGTAGAAATAGAAAACGCTTGGGATTTATGTATAAATTTCCTGAAATGCTTGACTTTAAAACGTGAAAATTGTGTTTACTATTAGTATTAAATGAGGAAGGGCATATCAGATTTATGAGACCTACTTCTGTACATTTTGCTGTTGTTGAATAACTCAAAATGTTACCATAAAGCAAGCAAACATCTTCATTTGCAGGGATTAACAATCAGGTACATTTCAGGAATAATATATTCAAATATGCTCAATGTACCTGTATCACTCAATGATATATTCAATATATACATGGAATTTTAAATTTAATTATTAATCAATTGATTTTATAATTCTGGAGACCTTGTACATGTGAGGCAAGTATTTTTTCACTAAGCTACATCTTCATCCCCTCATATATAATTATTAACAATATGCATATTTGATAATTTATTTTCTTTAATATCACACTGCATTAACAAGCATCATTTTTCTTTAATTAGAAAAATTAAAAATGGTCAATTTAAAAATTAAATTTACTACTAATATGTATATATGTGTGTGCATGTGTGTGTGTGTGTGTGTGTGTGTACCTTGGCCCATGTGGTGAGCTTGTATTAGTGTGTACATATGTGTGTACATGTATGTGTATACTTTGATAAATGCAGAGAACTTGTATTAGTGTGTACATATGTGTGTGTACATGTGTGTGTATACCTTGTACATGCAGAGAGCTTATATTAGTGTATATGTGTGTGCATGTGTGTGTGTACCTTGGTTCATGCAGGGAACTTGTATTAGTGTGTGTGTGACCATGTGTGTGTGTGTGTACCTTGGTACATGCAGGGAATTTGTATTTGTGTGTGTGTCTGTGTGTGTGTGTAGCTTGGTCCATGTGGGGAGCTTGGAGGATAGCTCTATGGAGTCAATTATCTCCTTTCACCTTCACGTGGGTTTTGGGGATAGAATTCAGATCATTAGGCTTTGTAGATCAAAAGGCAAGGGCTTTTAATCCACTAAATTATCTTGCCATCCCCAAAGTCCCCAAACTCTGCTTTCCTAAATACATTCCTTCCTTCTGTTTAGTAGTTACTAGTTCTCTGATAAAAGGCAGAAACCTAACCACTTGCACTGTACCAACCAAAGGACATTTAAAGGAGGAACTGTCACAAAACAGAGCTAATGAAATAGATATTTTTGAATCCCTAATTTATTTATTTTTAAAATTTAAATCAGAAACAATCTTATTTTACATGTCAATTCCAGTTCCCTCTCCCTCCTATCCTCCCATGCCCCCCAGTTACACCCCCCATCCCACCCCCCATCCACTATCCACTCTCCAGGAAGAATAAAGCCTTCCATGGGGATCATCAAAGTCTGTCATATTTGGGGCAGGGCCTAGGCCCTACCCCATGTATTTAGGCTGGGAGTGCATCCCTCCATGGGGGAATGGGCTCCCAAAATCCATTCCTGCACTAGGAATAAATACTGATTCCACTGCAAGAGACCCCATAGACTGCCCAGGCCTACTGTTACCCATGTTCAGGGGGCCTGGTGTGGTCCTATGCTGGCTCCCCAGCTGTCTGGTTAGGGTTCATTAGCTCCCACTTGCTCAGGCCAGCTGTTTCTGTGGGTTTCCCCAGCACAGTCTTGACCCCTTTGCTCATCACTCCTCCCCTTCTACAACTGGATTCCAGCAGTTTGAGTCAGTGCTTAGCTGTGGGTGTCCACCTCTGCTTCCATCAGCTACTGGATGAAGACTCTAGGATGGTATTTAAGGCAGTCATCAATCTCACTATAGGGGAAGGACATTTAAGGTAGCCTCTCCACTATTGCTTAGATTCTTAGCTGGAGTAATCCTTGTAGATCTCTCGACATTTTACATGAGGGGTTTGAGAGCCATGGAAGCTAAGTAATATCCCCCAGCTCATGGAGATGGGACCCACTTAGAATTTGAATGGTGGTGCTCAGAGAGAGTTTGGTATTTGTTCTTTCCTCTGTATCAGTGGTTTCTCAATCTTCCTAATGCTGTGACTCATCGATACAATTCCTTATGGTGTGCTGTCCTCCAGTCCCAAAATCACTTTCACTGCTACTTCATAACTATAATGTTGCTACATGATATAAATACCTGTGTTTTCTGTTGGTCTTAGGGGACTCCTGGGACAAGGCCATCTGACCCCTAAAGGTGTCAGGATCCACAGGTTGAGAACCACTGCTCTATTCCCTACTTCAAACTTTATTTTGTATGCTTTCATTAAAGTCGAACTAGTCTAATTTTACACATACCTAAAACAGTTCAAACATGTACTGCTATAGGGTTATAGATGGATATGTGTGCTGCTTGTCCAATAATAGTAATGTGAAAAGCAAGTTACCTGGTGAACAAAAACAACTTACCAAATTACAGTTTCCACAATCTCTCATAGTTTTATTATGTTTAAGAAAATCTTTTTAAAGGAAGTTCCTACTTAAAAACTTGGGATTCCTGAGGTTTATGAATTCAGAAGCTGGAAGGAATAGATTAGTTCTACCATTTCCTTTGAAAGAGTGTTGCTCTCAGGTGGTCCTGAGACTGGCCTCCTTTTGAAGACCCAGGTCTAAAAAACCCTTTAGTTTTGTTTTTCACTGATTGTTTTCCTCATAAACATATTTAAAACTAAAACTTTAATTATTGGCCAAATATTTCCCCCAAAACCATCCCACATAGTCTCCAATGTCTTTGATGGACTTAATGTCATGGTATCATTTGCTTGGTGTTTTTTGTAAACTCCTTTTGGTTAAAACACTAATTTCCCCCACCCCATCCTTTTCAGCAATTTTCTTCTTTCACATTTAAAGTCCACAACCAGGAGGAAAGGTTAAGAATTAAAAGGTTTACCTGTCCAGGCATGGTGGTGCACACCTTTAATTCCAGCACTCAGGAGGTGTATCTCAGTGAGTTTGAGGCCAGCCTGGTCTACAGAGTGAGTTCCTGGACAGCTAGAGCTGTTACACAGAGAAACCCTGTCTCAAAAACCAAAACCAAAACCAAACAAAAACAACAAAAAAAGAGCTTTACCTGGAATATCTGAAGAATGTTGTGCTTTTCCATGTAGCGGAGTGCAACTTGATAAGGGTCTTCATAAACGATGGGAGGAAACCGTCTCCCGTAAGTTTGACTGTATCTCTGAGAACTCTTTCTTTGTTCAAATTCTGTAACAATATCCTGAAATTGTAATATTCCATTAAATATTTATCATTAAAAAGATAAATTTAAAAGTAATTGCACTTTATTTTTACTGTTGTTATCAATGGGATCTAGTTTTGGTGAAATTTAAAGCCAAGAATTAAGATTTAACACCGAGTACTAAGTAAGTTACTGACTATGCTACTTTCATGTGTGTGTGTGTATGTGTGTGTGTTTGTGACCAGTGACCTTAAGGGTTCCTTACAGGAGCATGGGCCAAAGGCTATTTACAGAAGCACGGGTAGCTTACCAGGGGTTACATCACAGAAGAAAATATATCTTCCCCAGTAACCATGAACTACCTATGGTCCTAAGAGCCAGTTCTCTGAGAGACCCAACTCACCCTTAAGCACTATAAAGCACCTAAAACTAAGTGGGAGGGTATCTTAGGTTTCTCTACTTCAAATACATTCTCTCACACACAGGGATTTCCAAGTTACTTCAAATTCCCTTGCTATGGTAGAAACCCAGTGTGGGAAATGACTTAGTACATTATGATTCAGCACAGAGTTAGTAGCAGAACCTAAATCCATTAGTTTCCCAAATCCCCATTCACCAGTTCTTCCTGAGTGGCCTGAAGATAACTGGGGGGCAATATCTTTTGTTTCACATCCTTCCTGAAACCTATGGATTGCATGTAAGACATTACATGGGGTTACTCCTCATTTCTGATTTAGCACACATCTTTCTACCCCAATATTCTTGTTCTTAACCCCACATGTCTTGTCGTGGCCTCCAATCTCCCAGGCAGGTATCAGATATCCCTTTTACCTACAGTAGTTACTTCTGTGGTTTGGTATTTTTCTTGGCTGGAGGAATAGTACACTTTGGTTGTGATGGAGGGCAGTTTTTCATACGAGGACTGGGAATCACTGATGAATTCAGTATCAGGTGGGTTGTAAGCTTGGATAGTGGCTGCACTTTCTGTTTCCCCAGCAGTTGAGACCTTGGATCTGAGCTCTTCTTGGCTATCTTCAAATGTGCAAGGCTGTATTTTTAAGTCAGCTTCTTTAACCTCTTTGTCGTCACCAGTTTCAGATAATGATCGGTTCTCAGCCTGGGCAAGTGTTTTGTAGTATGAGCGGTAGTCAGTCTGTTTTTCTGCTTCGTGGACCAAACGGGCATAGTTCCTTTCCTCATCCTCACTAAACCCAAGGTAGTCTTCAGGCAGGAAATCAGCTTCATCGTAGACTTGGTGTTGACTCCTTCCTGATGTTGTATAGTCAGCTTGGTCTGATGGGGTCTGGCCACCATGCTCTGAAGTTCCTTCAGTCTGCTCGAAAGCTTCACCAGATAGCAAAGACACTCGGTCATCTATCTTCTCAGAGGCTTTTCCCTCAAGTAGGTTGGGCAATTGCTGATTAGGTGGCTCTGAAGTTTTTCTCTCGGTATAGCCAGATGATCTGCGGTCAACCTGCTGAGATGTCCTCCTGTGCTCAGACAGCTGAGAAGCATCTTCAGAAGTTCTTTGGTCAGTCTGTTCAGACCCTTCATTAGCAGCTTGGTTGGATGCCTTGTCACTGGTTTGCTCGGATAATCCAGCTCCAGTGTGTTCAGAACCTTTGTGAGGAGCCTGGCCTGATACTCCTTCTATGTAGGTTTTCTGGTTATTTGAGGGTTGGACTGTGTCTTCATAGTTCAAGGATCCATTTGGAGCCTCTTGTGGAGGCTCATCCATTTTCTGCTGCACCTCTGACTGGTCTCAGTTGCCAGGCACTGTGGGTGGGGCCTGGGCTTGGTTGTCTAGGCAACCCTCCTTGAGTTTATGATTCTGTTGGGCTTTGTTCTGTCTCTGCTGAGTAGGTAGGTGGCTATATGGCTGATGACTGGACAACAATCACTATCAAAAGGAAGTCTGCCCATGGGCTACCGCAGGAAGAACAAGAGTCTGGGACATTGTCTCCTGAGAAGAGGTGAAGCCCATAGACAGGCAGTCTGGAATCTCCATCACAGCCTAGTTTAGTTGGTCTGTTTTTCACTCTTACTCTGTTGGTTCTTCACTCTTTGGGCGCCTACCACCCAGCTCTCAAACAAATCCTACGGAGTCTTATTCTTACTTATAAATGCCTGGCCTTAGCTTGGCTTGTTGCTCTCCAGCTTTTCTTAGCTTAAATGATTCCATCTACCTTTTGCCTCTGGGTTTTTTCCTTTTCTTACTTCTGTATAACTTACTTTCATTCTTCCTCTGAATAGTTGGCCCCTAGCATCCTCCTCTCCTCTTTTTCTCACTCCTCAATCCTGATTTTCCCTGACTTCTCCCCCTATTTATTATCTCTACTTGCCAGCCCTGTCTATCCTTTCTCCTGCCTAGTTATTGACAGTTCAGCTCTTTATTAAACAAATCATACGTTTTAGATAGGCAAAGTAACATAGATTCACGGAGTTAAACAAATCCAGCATAAAAGAATGCAACACATCTTTGCATCATTAAACAAATATTTCACAGCATAAAAAAGCAACATATCTTTAATTAATATTCAACAACAGTCTAGCAAGGAGGCCTTATGATTTTCACTGATGCCTAGAGCTATTCATTTTCTTGTATTGTTCTGCTTATTTGTTTTTTGTTTTGTTTTGTTTTCCAGGCAGGCTAAGGCAGTGTGAGGACTAGGAACCACTCTCAGGTTCCACTCTTGTAACCAACATCCCCTCCAAACACCTGAGACAGTAGACTACTATCACCATTAAATTAAATTCGTACTACTTTGTACGTCTGTGTAGCATGTGAGTCATTTTCTTGATAAATTAGATGACAATGGGAAGATCCAAGGAAAATGGGTTCTCAAGGCAAAGTGTCAAGTAATCTTAGAACAAAAAACATGTTAGGGTGAGAAGTCCAAACCAGAGTTCCAGAAAGGAAGAAAATGAAGTGTGGACATATAACAAAAGAAATAGTTTGGCAAACAGAGAATTTGTACTTGGTAGTGGTGGCCAGTGGCCACCAGGTTTTAAGTTTTGCACCCCTCCTCCCAAATAAATCTTAAATAATGCATGTGTGAGGTCAGACAATATATTATCATAAGTTTAATTGCATTTAACAATTAGAGATGTAAAGTTTAAAAGACAATAGTTAGGGGTTAGTCCAAACTCAGAAACAGAGAGGGAAGGAATTCCAGGGACACTGAGATAAAACCATTTATGAACAAGTGCCTAAAACAAGACAGTAGCACAAAAAGTGTTTGCTGAATAAAAATTTATAAATGAACTGCAATATTTAAGACCATATGGAGCTGGGCGGTGGTGGTGCATGCCTTTAATCCCAGCACTTGGGAGGCAGAGGCAGGCGGATCTCTGTGAGTTCGAGGCCGGACTGAACCAACAGCCTCCAAAACAATACAGAGAAACCCTGTCTCGTTAAAAAAAAAAAAGACCATATGGGAGAAATGGACACCCTGTTAGCATAAGGTAATTGATAAGCTGCCTTATAGCCTGCAATTCAAAACGATATCAGTCAGTATATCTGTTTTTCCATTTAAACACAACCATCATAGACAAGGAACCATAAAGAAAATATTTCCTCAATAACCAAGATAAAACTTTTATTAATATGTCCATATATCTGTCATATCTATAGACGTGTATACATATTACCAAATGGTTACTGATTTAAGAGCTTTCTCTTGTAGTGAAGGTATTTGTAGTCACACATTTTGCTCTGCTGTTGCTCCTACTGAATCCCATAGCTTTTTGATGTGTTGTGTTTTGTTTTACCCATTTCAAAGTATTTTCTCACACCCCCTTAGGATTTCTGATTTGTCACTGTGTCTAGGAATTTGTCAATTTCTAAACATTCACAAGTTTTCAAATTTTCTTGATGAATTACAAGCTTTCTCCTTATGTGATCTGAGAGGATTATTTGAATGACATGATCTTTTCTAATGTACAGAGAACTGCTGTGTGTCCTAATTTACCACTGTGTGAGGACATGGTCCCTGTGTCCTAATACACCACTGTGTAAGATCACGGACCCTGAGAGGGGTGTGTATTTCCAATGGTTGGGCAGAGTGGCTTTCCTGTGTTAGGTATCTTTTCGTTATGTTGTTTATGTCCTGGAGTTGCTTATTGACTACTTTAAGTATTTTGTCCACTATTGAAAGTGAGATGTTGAAATTCCCAACTACTTTTGTAAAATTGCCTTTCCCCCTTCAAATCTTTTAAGATTATTTCGTGTTTTGAAGTCAGCAGAACTCCATAAACAAATATGTTTATAATTCCTCTACCTTTGTGTTTAGTTCACCACTTTTCAGTATGTAAAATACTTGTCTATTTTAACAGTTTATGACCTAAAGTTTATTTTATTTTTTCTGATATTAACATAGCAAGCATGCTGTCTTTGGTCACTGTGTGGGATGTATTTTTTCACATGCCTTCACTTTCAACACTTTGTAGTATTAGAACCCAGAAGAGTCAGGCATTGGTGGCACACGCCTTTAATCCCAGCACTCGGGAGGCAGAGGCAGGCGGATCTCTGTGAGTTCGAGGCCAGGCTGGACCGACAGCCTCCGAAACAGAGAAACCCTGTCTTGTAAAACCAAAAGAAAAAAAAAAGAATAGCCATACCAACATAATTTCCAGCATCCATTTTATCAATAGATTGCCCTCTATCCTTTGAATCTGTCTGTGGGTGTCTACCCAAGAAAAATGACTCTAGGAGACAGCAGGTAGCTGGATTGAGTTTTTAGTTCAGTTAATCAGTCATTGGTGGTATGACGATGTCAATGTCTTAGTGACTTCTCTATGCTGTGACAAAACACAATGATGAAGGAAACTTATAAAAGAAAGTTTGGGCCTTATGATTCTAGAGAGTTAAATCCATAATTCCAGAGGGACCATGACAGCAGGCAGGGAGGCATGGCACTGGAGCAGTAACTGAGATCTTATATCCTGATCAGCAAATAGGAAGGGATGTAGAGGGTGAAAGAGAGAGGGGATTGAGAGAGGAAGAGGCTGGGAACGGCATGAGATTTGAAACCTCAAAACCCATTCCAATTACACACCTCCTCAAGCAAGGCCATAAATCCTAATCCTTCCTAAACAGTTCTATAAACTTGGAGTCAAATATTCAAAGATAAGAGCTATCAGGTCCATTCTCACTCAAGCCACCGTAGCCACTTGTACTTGTGGTTCTTACTGAGACATACTTAGGAGCCCCTGGGCCTTTACTGGCTGTTTTTATGGTTGGTGGGATTGTTTATCCTCTTCTTTTACCACTATGAGTAGTAGGGGTTTTCTGGTTCACTATGTTAGACATGAGGGATTTCTCCCAATCTCCCTTTCATTAATAGATTAACAAACACATGAAACTTATTCTTGCCTTCGATCTCATGATGGAAACTGTTTTTCTTCCTTTGCATATAGTATTCCTTTAAGTATTTTCATCAGTGCTGGCTTGGTTGCCATGAACTGTTGTTATTTTGTACATATCCTGAGATGTCCTCATTTCAACATCAATTTTAAAGGAGAGCTTTGATTCATGTGGCAATGATTGGAAGGTGTTTGTTCTGAGGCTGGAAATGCAGAGTTCCTTTCTTTCCTCACTTTGGAACAGCTTATGAGAGAGCTGATGGTACTCTGATCTGTTTATCTTTGTGAGTGAGTCTGTACTTTTTATTTCTTAGATTTGTATCTTGACTCTAGTATTCCATGGAGAAATTCCCTCTGGTCATGTATCTATTTGTGGATCTAGATGTGTTTAGCGTTTGTATTTCTACTTCTCTTGATTTGGGGGATTCTTTTGGCTAGGATTTAGTTGATTAGTGTCTGCCTTTCATTTTTATCTTAGCAACTCCTACTCCATGAATTCTTCAGTTTGTTTTCTTGATAGTATCCCAGGATGCTTAGATGGTGTTGCTTTGCTCACTTGTGTTTTTTAGACTGTTGGTATCTAAGATATTCAGCTGAGGTGGGGTTATGCTACCCTTTGTATTTCCGGTCTGCATCTCTCCAGTTTCTTGTCACGTTTGAGCTGGTCAGCAGCATTAGGCCCTTCTACTCTCCTCCACTACCCGAGTTGTGATAGATTAAAGTCATCCTTCCTATGATCAGCCCCAGCCCCTTCCCTCTGGTTGTTCAGTTTCAGGCAACATTCTCTGTCAAGAGAGTGCCTGGCCTCAGCCCTCCAAGTCATACAGAGAAACAAAATGGACTTTCGGTCCATTGTTAGGCCAACCATTGGAGAAGTCCCTGTGGTGATTTGAAAGAAAATGACCCCTAAAAGCAGTGGCATCATTAGGATGTGTGGCCTTGTTGGAGCAGGTGTTTTCTTGTTAGAGGAAGTGTGTTACTGTGGAGGTGGGCTTGAGGCCTTGTGTAGCTCCAGCCACGCCCAATGTCCTGTTGCTTGGCAAGATATAAAACGCTCAGCTTCCTCTCCAGCATCATGATTTCCTCCACATCATCCTGTCCCACTATCATGATAATGGACTGAGCGTCTGAACTGTAAGCCACCCAATTAGATGCTTTTCCTTTCTAAGAGTTGCTGTGGTCACGGTGTCTCTTTCCAGCCTTAGCAACCCTGCCTAAGACAGTCACAATGCATCTGGGGCTAGTGTGGGCTGTGGGCTTGTCCTGAGTCTCCTCCCTAGAACTTGGTGGCTTACCTTTCATACGGGTCTTCTGATCCCCTCCCCCTGATGGGGGCCACCTGGTTTGGGCTGTTTCACTTTGCCACTATCCCACCTGTCATCCATCATCTACTCGGTGTTTTAAGTGTCTTATCCCTGTCCTCGAGACTCTCTGGAGCCCACCCTCTCTTGGGATGGACAGTTTCTGTCCTGCCATGCCTCCTGGCACCTTCCACACAACCTTTGACAGGCTGGATCTCTGGTGAGACAGTCTGACAGCTGCCATCACACAGATGGAGCAGAGAACGGTTCGTAAGTCTCGTACACTCAGCCTGGGTGGAGGAGACAGCCACACATCATCCAGGGCTACTGGGTGCTTGCCACCAGGAACAGCAGCAGAAGGGGCTGTGTGGGCCACAGGTATTGTAAACACAAAAAGTGAGTGGCCTCCCCGCCTCTGACTTTCTTGCCCACTTTGAGTTCTCACGAGAAATCATTGGCTTTGTCAAGTCATACCGGCTGCCGAGGAAGTGAACCTCCTAGGGAGGGCCAGGAACCTCTGGGACTGGAACGTCTCTTGTGTGACTGACTACAGGGCATATCTGGTGGGAACAGGAATTCACTGGCCTTTGCTGCATTGCTGAGCTTGCTTATTCTAATTCATTAGACAATTTTTTAAAACACATCTTCACATTGCCTAAAAATAGAGATGGTTTTCATTATTTTTTCCCTCCTCTTTTTTTTTTTTTGGTAAAACCTGTTTTCCCTTGTGTATACTAACTGTACACAGTGCTGTTGCATAAGGATATTTTCAGACAAGTAAGTATTATATGTTGAGGGGACTCCACACAAGCACCTGACCATTTCCTTTCTTACTTGCCTGCTGCTCTCCTTTGGCCCCTAGGCAGTTTCACATGTTGTTGGGGGCCATGCAGCCTAGTTTTGGACCAGAGTGCTTGTTCCACGCGTCTTCAGATGAAGCAAAAAGCCATGGGGCAGTCCCACTCGGCAAGGACCGGAGGACTTCAGGACAGCGAACAATACACCGCTGAGACTGCACGGCCTGCACTCTCTCTTCTCTCTTGTAATATCGGTGATTATCTTGGGACAGATGTGATCATTCCTGGAAACTCCATTTTTCTCAATT